GAGGGTGGGGAGTCGTGGCTTCTTCGGTCGTCCCAGGGGTAAATTTCTGTATGAATAAAACATGAATCTCTAGTTTGATCAAGTTCCTATAGCCGATAGAAGCGAATATGTGAGTTCCAGGAAGCAGTTTAGAAGAAGTCACATGTTCTGCTCAAGTTCCAATATGTAGAGACAGGACGAAAAGCCATGGCTTATGCGAGGGGGGGGCTTAATTTCGAATTCCAGTAACTCTAAGGGGATCTCAGTCCTAGGCCTTGTCTTTTTTAGTCGACCCAATTGTGAAAAAACCCGCGGCATTTGGCGGAATTCGAACCCGTATAGGATCGAAGGCCTTCTATGCAAGTCAACGCTCTACCTACTTGAGCTACGAATGTCACGCTTCGCACCGTGAGTTTACTCACACGTGGATCGATATTACCCGCCGAATGTCTCGAGTTTTTCATAATTGGGTCAACTTAATTAACTATATCTGTCAAACCTCCTCAATACTTAGAACTTGTCTGTTTGTGGTTAAGATATGACTTGCTTATGACGGAAAATGATAAAGAAACGGTGATTCAAGTCTCACTGGTTTTTGTCCGGATGCCCACTATATTGAAATAAGTTGCAATACACTGACGGTTCGACCGTCAGGTTCAACAATGTCTACCTCGTGCTTCAACAGGCTGAAGACAGATTTGGTGAGTTAACTGATAGCATCCCTCGCCTTTCCCTCACTCACCCACTCACCCGTGTCCAATGTCATGACAGAGCAGAAATACCCCGAACGTTCGTGAGGTTAGGTTCCAGGACCCGTCACGAATAAGAACTAACTGCGAATGTTTGGTACTAATCACCATAAATGCCACAGATATGACTTAATTCATGCTTTCAACAGAACTGGCTGTCATATTGATATATTGTGCCTAAAAACTAAAAAGCGGTTGAAGTAAAACTAGAGTATGGGGTTGTTCAATGAGTATTTGTTACACTAGCTTATTTATTCTACGGTAAACTAATGTTACCACTATAGTAATTCACTGATTGCTGTTTTTATTTTGCATTCACTGAAAGGTAAACCTGCTGACTGACCTTTTATTTTTAATTGTCAGAAAGGTAAACTAGGTAAACTCATATTGCGGATAAGTCTTATCACGAAGGTGTAATCCAATAAAATAAGGGAAAATGTACATACTGTACACAGAGTGCAAAGATATTTCATCAGTTTTGTTAGTCTACCCCCCCCCTCCCGTAAAGGCTTGACGATGGATAATTGGAAGCGTGCTTTCAAGAAAATTGAATTCTTGGATGCTTACATCGTTGAAATTATAAATTACTAAAATAATTAAGTACAATGAGTTCGCAAGTTTTTTCGAAGATTTAAGAAAATTCGCGAAGTTATGGAAGCAAAATGGTGGGTACAAATTGACTAGGTTCCCATGAAACTTTCGCTAATCTGTGAATTCGCAAAGATCCGATGTATGACTATACAGAAAAGACCGAAAATAAGAAAATTGCAGTTTTATAGATGTAACAGCATGGAATTACATCAGATTTCAAGTATCGCCAGTGCTCATCGGAGCAAACAAAGATGCGAGGTCCAGGCAGGATCTAGCCGGGAAGCACTACTGCGGGGTGAGGGCTGATGCAACACTCGGAAGATGTGTTTGAGCAGAGGTCATCAGGCGAATAAAAGCTTTTGTTGTTCCAGCGATCGCGTCCCGTTTCTCTCGTGGTGCGGATCAGCAAAAAGCAACGTGAACTTATCCCAGAAATGGACTCCACCTATTCGATAGGAGTGATTGAGATGAAACCTGATCGCGAGAGCTTTTCGGAATCGGTGCCTTACAGTTTGGCGGCTGAAGTATAGCGCAGAGAACCTTCGCTAGTGAGCATTTCTTTGAACCGCTAGTAGGTAGGACAGGGATACTAGGTACCCCTCGTATTACACGTGACCAGGTGCTATATTTAGGGAGAGCTGAAGCTTAATGCAGGGCAACCTTTCATTCTGGGGGAGGAGCAGGGGAGGGGACTACATACTCCCGTGCGCAGTGTGCTATTGACTTGTACTTTGAAACTTAAATAATCCACCGATATAAATTTTGTCATGTAGCTTTTAAAGTACAGATAACAGACACGCTTAAACAGGACAGGGGAACAAGAACGGCCCACTTAACAGGTGCCTTAGCGCCAAATTCCTGAGGAATTAGGTTAAGGATCAAGGTAAGGGTCGGCG